TGTGTGTGTGTGTGTGTGCGTGAGTGTGTGTGTGTGTGTGTGTGTGTGTGTGTGTGTGTGTGTGTGTGTGTGTGTGTGTGTGTGTGTGCGGGAGTGTGTTTGTGTGTGTGTGCAGGAGTGCGTGTAGTATTCAGTATTCACTGTAATATTAATAGCAGCAGCAATTCTTCATATAGAAACTCACAGAAATGTTGTTCTGCTCCTCTGAGGATGATCAATATTTCAGTGTTTGTTTTGTTGTCGTAGCTTTGATTTTTTCTTTAATATTGCAGGTAAGAAGCGCACAGATACTGATTAAACAAAGATGATCGTATCACATCAGATTTCATACACACAACCTGAACAGACTCTGTGTGTGTTTCTAATAACTGAAGCATGGAAATGCACTTATGCTGTGTTTGTGAGTGATTTCTGTTGGCAGTGAAACTATGAAACCTCACAGTTTACTGTCACTTATTTCTATTGTCACGTTTCATTTGCTTTGATGGCGGTGACAATTTCTTTTGCTGCAACACTTCTTCACTGCATTGTATGATTACACCAGTAAATATAGAGAATACTTGTAAAATCATAACATTTTAATTAAATAAACTTACAGGATTTGAGCAAAGAGCAAAGTATTGTAATTAAATGCACAGAGTGAAATAAAATAGACAAAATCACACAAGATTTAGTAATTAAGCAGATATTTTTGTGTTTATAAAAAAAGCTTTAAATAAAAATTATTTAATGCTTGGTTTATGTTTCTTATATTTACTTTTTTCAATATTGCAGTACTAACTTATGTCTATAAAACATGATTTACCCAGTTTTAATGGTCATAAGTCATTAAAGTCATAAGATTTTTTTTTATCAGAACAAACTTTGAAGTACTTACTTTGTTAGAAGGACCCATATAGACCTTTACGATTTTTAATTACAAGTGCATTTAAAAAAATGTTTTTTCTAGATTGAATTTTATAAAATGTCTGTATTTGTTGAATTGTTTGTTGAATGTTGAATCTGCCATGTACTAGTGAATGATATGGCAATACTTTTAAATACAAATGTAAATGGATTTTTAATGGATTCTGCTATGAAGTAATTAATTATTTAAAATCAATTTATATTAAAAATATAAAATAATATATATTTTAATTATAAAATAAGGTTAGTATATTATATTAAATTGTATATATGGGTTGTTTTTACATAATAATTATATAATAACATAATATAAGTATTTATTATATACAATATAATTGTATAATATTAAAATATATTTAAAATAAAATAGTATTTTGTATAATTTAAAATACATTTTAGAGCTGGGTTGTTTTTATTTTAAGAGATTTTTAAAATGCTTTACCTTTAGCTTTGTCTTATTTTATTTATATGTATTGTATTAAATATTGAACTTGCCATTAAAAACAAATGTATTTTTTAACAGTTTCTGAAATGAAACAGTTATTTATTTCAGTAAGGTAAATTTATATTTACAAACATTTTAAATTATAAAATAATATAAGCATATATTATAATATAAAATAATAAAACGATATTTTAAAACATTATGTAATTTAAATTAATTTTATTTATAAATTTTTGTAGTCAGTGTAAGTTAGTAGGTGAATGTCTCTATGATCATGATGTGAAGGTTGTGAGAACTGCTGGTTTGTTTCTGAGTGCTGCTGTGTCCTGAGAGGTCAGAGGTCAGCTGAGAACCAATCAGACGAGGCCGGGGTCAAATTGAATCAGCAGAGATGTGGCCTCTCGTGCTCAGAGCACAAAACATTAATGAAGCCAATCAGGTTAGGCCTTGTAGTGTGAGGCCGGAAGAAATGAAATAATATGATTTCTTTAGAAATAATCAGACAGAAATGAAGACAAAATCTGCTCTGAGTTCTATATAATAACAATAAGAGAAACTTGTGATTGTCCTTTGTCTGAGTGCTGTTATTTATTACTTATTTGTTTATAATATGAAATGAATGGCTAACACTTGATTTTACAGTCTGTGTGGCACTTTACATGTTACTATTATTCATTATCATTTTAATAGCAGTTACAAGCAGCTCCACGAATGCAAAAGGAACAGAAAACACAGATTAATTTATCAAATATGTGTCCCTGGAGCACAAAAGCAGTCATAAGCAGCACAGGTATATTTGTAGCAATAGCCAACAATACATTGTATGGGTCAAAATTATTGATTTTTCTTTTATGCCAAAAATCATTAGGATATTAAGTAAAGATCGTGTTCCATGAAGATATTTAGTAAATTTCCTACTGTAAATATATCAGAACTTAATTTTTGATTAGTAATATGCATTGCTAAGAACTTCATTTGAACAACTTTAAAGATGATTTTCTCAATAATTAGATTTTTTTGCACCCTCAGATTCCAGATGTTCAAATAGTTGTATCTCGACCAAATATTGTCCTATCCTAACAAACCATACATTAATTGAAAGCTTATTTATTAATTGATGATTTTGAAAAATTTACCCTTAAAGACCAGGTCCAGGGTCACATATTAGTTTATTGGTTTATTGTAAAGGAACAGAAAACACAGATTAATATATCAAATATTGGTTTATTACTGTAATTATCGATTATATTTGTGTGTACATCAGGGCTTTAACAGGATGGATGCATTTCTTATACCTTACAGTGTTAGACGTAGTTTCTGACAAAATTATTACTGCATTTTTATTACAAATTTTTAATGAAAACATTATTTTTCACAAAATATGAATTAAATAAACAAAAATAAATCCATATAATGCGTAATAAAATTTTAGCAAATAAAGAGAAAGCATCTTAAGTAATTCTTGTAAGATCCTTAAAAATAATGTAATTACTTAAAATATATATAATTGATATATTTTTATGACTGTATTGCTGTTATAGAATCAAACAAACATTCATCCAAATGATATTAGAGCCATTTTTAATGTGTTAATTGACATTAGTGCAGATTAAAATAGATAAGCATTTATCCATTGTGAGCAGTAATATCTGTGCTCTACATCATCATACGTCTCTGTATTGTGGCCTCAGGCGTGTGTGTGTGTGTGTGTGTGTGTGTGTGTGTGTGTGTGTGTGTGTGTGAGAGAGACTAATTGCGTGTCCCGTGTTGAAGGGGCTCCTGCGGCACACACACGTTTGGTAACAAAAGAAGCCCATCAACCGCACCCCACACTTCCGCAAGCAAACACCCCTCCAGCTCTCTTTATGCCTCTGTGTGTGTGTGTGTGTGTGTGTGTGTGTGTGTGTGTGCAGCACGTGTCCCTCCAGCACAAGGCCCTGACCATGACCCTAACACACACACACACACACACTCCATTCAGAGCGCTGTCTGGACACTGAGCACAAAGCCGAAGCTCCACGAGCGCCGCAGCGTTAATTCAGACGAGTCGTTGGTGTTTTATGGGCAGGTGTCTCACATTCACAACAAATTCATCTGACCAGAACAAAACAACATGTGAAATATTACTTTCATTTCCTAAAAAAGGATTTATTTTCATATTAATTATTTTATTTTATTTTGCTTCATTATTTTTAAGGATTTATTTATAAGTCTAACTTGTTATTATTATTATTTATTATTATTATTATTATTATTAAGGATTTACTTAAATGGATAAGAATTGCTTATATGATTTATTTTATTTTATTTTATTTGTATATTCTGAAAAGGGATTTATTATTTTATTTTACATATTTTTAAAGATTTACTTGATTACTAGAATTTACTTTTATTTATAAGAATTACTTAATATCGTTGTTGTTGTTATTGTTTTTAGTATTTATAAGTTTTGCTCATGGTGATTTATTTTACTTTTTTATGTTTAAAGATTTACATATATTTTTTAAAATTCCTTATGGATTCATTTAGTTTTTATCTTTTGTTATACCTCTTTACATTTCAGTTGAACATTTTCAGAAATAAGTGACTACAGAAATGAACTGTGAATGTTGTTTTATGTTCTTTAAGTGACTCTGTGTGTCTGTCTGTAGGCTGTCTGTCGAACCTGCCGCCGAACGCGAAGATCTGTAACTCGTACGAGGAGCGGAGGAAGCAGGCGACGGCCATCGTTCTGCTGGGAGTGATCGGAGCCGAGTTCGGTGCAGAGATTGAACCTCCCAAACTACCTTCCCGCGCTCGCACCAGCACTCAGGCTCCCGACGGATTCGGTCTGACCACTGGAGGATCCAACTACTCGCTGGCCCGACACACCTGTGAGTACACAAACACACACACCTCTGAGTACACAAACACATATACACACACACACACACACACACACACACACACACACACCTGTGAGTACACAAACACATACACACACACACACACACCTGTGAGTACACACACACGCACACACACCTGAGTACACACACACAAACACACACACCTGATCATTCCCAAGAATCATTATGAATGAAATACAGTAATCTAGTCTCTTCACTCTCAAACTACTTGTGTATATACAGTGGTGGCTAAAATTATTAGAACACTAGTATTTTCAGCAGCTAAAAGATGGTTTTAAGTCAGTTATTCTTATCTTATCTGTCTCTTTCTTATTATATTTTGCTTATCTTATTATATTCTTATCTTTCTTATTATCTTTTGCTGTACGGTGTCAATAGGAAATATCAGTTTGCATTTCCAAACATTCATTTTGCTATTAATTGTAATAATCCAGTGAGATTTGTGTCTGACAGCAGCCAGTGCTGCACACAGAGCTCTGATCTGATCATCATCAGTCTGTCTGGAGTGACATGAAGAAACAGAACACACTGAGACAGACTCAATCCAGAAGAAAATACTAGTGTTCTAATCATTTTGGCCACCACCAAATATAATTATTTATTTGTATTTATTTTTTACATTTTCTTTTTGTTTTGCGTGTGTGTGTGTGTGTGTGTGTGTATATGCATTAGTACCACTGAGATACTATTGTGGTTTCATTAATAATCAATATTTTTAATTAGTGTAGTGAAAACATTTTTAGTTTTATTTTAACTTGAAGTTTTAGTGTGTTTGTGATTTATATTAGTTTATTTTTTAAATATATAGTTTTATATACTGTAGTTCTGTATAGTTTTTATTATGTTTCTATTTCAGTTTTATTTTTAGTTATTTTAGTACATCAAGTTAAGCTCAAATGAAAATGAGAAATGTTGCTTTGGCAACTAGCTAAAATAAAATATAAAATTAAACTTATTTCAGTTAATGTTTCTTTTTTCATTTAACTTTTTTTGTATGGTTTTTGTTTTAGTTCACAGTAATAACCTTATATATAATTTATATATTAATACTTTAAATTATATACTCTGTATAAAAATGTCACATTATAATATTGGCATTCTTATTTGTTAAAAAAAGTATTTTAAAAGTGTTTTAGTGCAATCCTTTGTTTTCATTCTTTTGCAAACTTGTTTTTGTTTTTATTTAAATTTTTTACTGCTGATTTTTCATTTTAATTTTTTCATTTTTTATTATCAGTAAAAATCTTTGTTACATGAATTTAGTGTGCAGCTGATTTTTATAGTGCATTCTGGGAAGCAAACGGTTCAGTGCACTGGAATATTGTCCAAATGCATTTCATTAGTATGAGTATTATGCTATAGGCACTGTGCGTGTGTGCTTGTGCTTGTGTGTGTGTGAGTGTGTGTGTGTGCGTGTGTGCTTGTGCTTGTGCTTGTGTGTGTGTGTGTGTGTGTGTGTGTGTGTGTGTGTGTGAGTGAGTGTGCACGTTTTTGTGACATATGAGGACACAAATTTTAATAATGACATGGGTATGACATAGGTATTACAAGGAGGTGACTTATGAGGACATTACCCCATGTCCCCACTTTTCAAAACGCTTATAAATCACACAGAGTGAGTTTTTTTGAGGAAGTAAAAATGCAGAAAGTTTCCTGTAGGGGGTAGGTGTAGGGTTGGTGTAGGGCAATAGCATATACAGTTTGTACAGTAGAAAAACCATTACGCCTATGGAATGTCCCACAATTCACAAAAACAAACGTGTGTGTGTGTGTGTGATAGACTCTTTCAATTAGTCTGTACCCAGGGGCAGTAGACAGCTCGTAACGTCCCTCTGTGTTGTGTGTGTGTGTGTGTGTTATTGTATGTATTGTTTGTAATGTGAATGTCTCGAGGGTTTTGAGGAGCAATTAGACAGTTGCACATTTTAACGTATTGAGCTGTTTTCCAACACTTCAGATGTTTTTGCACAGCATCGAATGATCTGATATTAAGATTTCAATACTAGATACTAATATCAGTAATTTTTTTTCATACACTTCATTAAACTCAGTAAACATTATAGTGTGTGTATATATATATATAT